ATACAATGACACGTCTGAAGTGATAAAGAGATGCCGAGTGTAGGTTTCCACTAAAACGCTCTCCGTATCCAATGAGTTAGCCACTGTTTTCAGATGTGTGATGATTGGTTGATCGGTCGGCTCTATTTCAGGTTTTGTTTGAAGCTGCCTCTGGTTTCTGTGCGCTAAGCCATCACTTTCACAGATAAATGCCGATACATTCAAACGTAGTGTAAGGCATTGTTCTTACGCTCTTCTTTGGCCGGCCCCCCACCCCCACTCCCCCCTTGGATGTGGATGAAAGTTCATGAGGTATATTTATGTGTCGTCTTTTGTATGGCCACTGGTAACCGTAGTTAAAAACGCATGCTGGCAGACGTACACGCACGCACACGTGTGTCGGAAATGCTCGCACACACAAAGGCATGACGAAAACACACATCACTCATCACCATGTGGAGATATTTAATGTGCATGAATCCGATAAAATGAAACCACAACTCTCAGAAAAAAAAACAGAGAGGCAACTGGCTGAGTGAGTCCTGCATAATATAGGTCTTCCCTTTCCCCAAAAACACTTATCTTCTGTTATTAAATAGCAATAGTTTTGTATTTATGTAAAATCAATTAAAAAATACACGTAACAGTCAAGAATTAAAGCGATCAATAGCAGTCAAAATGTTAGGCTAATAAGCTACAGCTTATTCATGGTAAAACAAATTATTAATATTTCATATTATTGGTACCCATATAGATTTATAGTCATATATAAATACAAATATATTTATATGTTTGTTTAAAGTCTGCAAGCACAAATAAGCTGCATTTATTGAATTTGTTAACAGTCAAAGAGAGGATGGAGGATGAGGTGGTTATGGCATTTGAACGTGTGTAGTAAAGTGACCCTGTTTAGCAAGTTCCACCTCATGTTCACCATCGGCCACCAACACGTACGATGGCAGTTCAACAGTACGTCCCATGGTAACATCTTAACTTGTTAGTTTGAGTGTTTGTTTTTGTCCCATCGGTTTTCAAGAATGAACTAGGATGTGGAATGAGCACTTAGCAAAGATTTCCTCATTGTGACAAGTTCACATTCACAATAAAGCTTAAGTTTTTTTGTCATTTTTTTTTCTTTTTTAATGTTTTAGCCACTTTTCATGTTTATTTTTCCCCCTTCACACCTGCAGCTCAGGCGGCGCCTCTGAAAAACGGCGTCCACCTTGAGAGCATGAGCCATATGGAAACAGCTTACAGAGGGCAGTGATTCAAACAAACGCGTCGCCCCTGCAGAAACCTCAGCGCAATCATTAGCTCCGCAAGCTGCCCGTCCAATCACAAAGCCCCTCCTTTAACAAACATCCCCAAAATTTTTTACATGTTATGTTTTGTCAACAATTTCTTACTGGCCAGCGTTCACAACACAGAGCTCCACAAAGGAGAGAGAGAGATAGAGCGAGAGAGAGAGAGAGAGAGAAACAGAGAAACCTCCCCCTATCGGAAACGCCCCATAAAAGAGGACTACCACCCAGGAAAAAGAAGCGTGCAAGCCTCGGAAGAGGGAAGCAGTCAGGGGAGTTTGCCTTGTAAAGCCAGGCAGATAGACAGAGGGAAGGTCCAGCTGAGAGAGGTGAGACAGCGCAGCGCCACAACGTGGCTGGAGAGAGACGCTTTACTTGACATCCTCTGCACAGGGTATTTGGGGTCGTGACGCGACAACCACTGTATCAGGAAGTTGCCGTGCTTGTTGAAGTCAGAAGTGCTCCCTGTTGTATGTGGGAGAGGGATTGGGAAAAAGAAAGCCCGGGAGACAAAGAGAATGCGAGAGAGAGAAAGAAAGAACGAAAAATCCCATCAACTATATTAGTGTATTCATTCATGTTATGAATTAGTCTGTTATTTCTGCAAAAACTAGTACAGATAATACAACTTTCATTAATAACATTAATAAGCATGCTTGACAGATCATTAGTAGGTGTACATTCAAATAATCCCAATTGTCTATGCTTGGCTTCATATATTTTTGTCTTCATCAACATGAAATGAAAATCGATAATCGATATCTACGACTTCTGACTTGCACTTGGAAGATGACATATAAAACTGGCATTGCATATTATAATTTATCCTCCAAATTATTGATGCAATTTTTACAGGATTTATTAATGTAGTTAATGTTAGAAATATATATATATATATATATATATAAACTATAGTTCATTGTTATGTTCATTGTTGGGGTCAGTTTTACTTTTTTTCTTAAGCATTTAAACCTTTATTCAGCAAAGATGCATTCAATTGATCAGAACTGGCAGTAAAGACATTTATGATGCCACAAAAGATTTCAAAGAATACTGAAAAAATATTAAGCAGCAAAACTGTTCATTAAATAAGAACTGTTTCTTGAGCACCAAATCAGTATATTAGAATGATTTCTGACATATCATGTGACACTGAAGACTGAATCTTACGAAAAATTAATGAATGTTTTAAAATATTGTTCATTGGTATTTCATGTTAGATAATGTACACATCCTTATTGTAAAGTGTAACCAGTTAGATACATCCTTATCTCGGAGAGATGCATTATGTGAGCATTACTTTTAATCCTTTCCAACCAACCATCTGACTCCATTTTGGTATGTTACACCCACTTTTAATGATTCAACCAATTGTCAATGGCTCTCAAGTCCTGCCCTATATTGTTTCTAGTTTAATATCTTGCTACACTCAAAAATTTGTCAATTTAAAATAGGCTGTGAACAGCACTTCATGTTGACTTTAATTTTGAATGTACTGATCTGTTAGATGTTTCGGGTTGTTATTTCAGACTTAATGAAAGTTACTGAAAATGTGAGCACATAATCAAATACGCACTTGGGCAGGGATCCATTCTGCAGGGTCTTAATGCAGCTGGTTTGGAGTCCAGACACAGTCCAATGGTGTTGTCACGGGTGTGACAAAGCACCTGCCTCTCCTGCGTACCATTACCACACGTCACTGAGCACTACAACGGCACAAACACAAACAAACATTCATTATTTTTATGCTAAAAGTTGATCAAACTAATCCCACGCGCAGACCTATACGGATAGAAACACAGCATGTCAGATGTCTGTACCTGTGACCAGGGGCCCAGCCTCCACTCAGCAGGGCACAGGTTGCGATTACAGTCTCTGCGAGACTCTGGGCGCTCGTCACTGCAGTAACGGCTGCGGATGGATTTGATCTTGCCGTCGGCTAGAGGCTGGACGCAGCGTACAGAGCGTGTCTGAGTGCCAGTCTTCCCACAAGACTTACTGCATTCACCCCACTCTCCAGCCACCCAGCTAAACACATAGAAACAGACAATCAGTCAAAGTTTATCAAGAAAAACAGGTGCCAAAGTGTCATGTGTGATACAAGAAACAACAGCGTCACAGTGACATCTACTGGAAATAAACTAGATAAACTACAGTATAGTTGCAGAAAACCAGACCACAAAATGTAGTGCTAGGGAATGCTAGTTTTAAAAGTAATGCTACTTTTTTGTTTTTACGTTATTCATAATAAGATATAAATTATAAAAGTTTTTTATGTATTAATGTATATGAAATGTATTAACTACACATTTTTAATTAATTATAAAATACATTATTACACAACACTGAAATGTTTTAGCTATTTTAAATAACAGGAAACATGTATTACACAATCAAATGTAATTTTTTTGACAAATGAAGATTTCTGTGTTGATTTGCATGCACTGAATATATATATATAAAAAAGGTACTAATTATCACAACATCCAATTTTAAGGTGGGTTTAAAATGCAGAATAATAGTAATAAATAAAATAAGTAATTTGTTGGTGTGTCCAAATTCTTTTGCTGTTACTTCAAAAAAGTAATCTGATTAAGTAACTTGTGTTGCTCCCAAAACTGAAAATGTGAATAAAAAAACTCCCACACACTCACATGGGCTGAGCACACTCGCTCAGGTAACAGTCTCTAAACAGGGGCGGAGGCTGCTTGAGTTTCTCACAGAATCTGCGATGGACCATCCTCATCTCTGCGTTTTTACGGCAGCCATAACGCGTCATCTGAATACCTGTCCATAAGAAGGTAGTGGAGGAAATACTCATGAACATCAAAAGAGAAAAGCAGAACAATATACACAATTAATCCATAATTATCCAAATAATATAAGCTAACATTCTATTGGACTGAGTTTTGTCAGAATTACCCAAATGGGGTTTCGGTTAAATGCCTAAAATAGGGACTGTGGTTTACACATGCTCCAGATAATTTCATGATTTATTCTACTACAAATCACAAATGCATACTAATGTGATTTTTCAAAAGCTTGTTTAAAAAGTGGCTAAATGGGACTACAGAGTTTGTTAGGGACATTAAATGTCATCATGGCGAACAGGTAAATTAATTTACTGACTATTCTGCTTTTACAGCCTCATTGTGTTTATAATTGCACTCTTGTAAACTAACACAAAATATAAAGTGCCCCTATTATGCCATTTTGAATATTGCCTTTCATGGAGTGTGTAATGTAGCTGTATGTGAATGTAAACAATCTGCAAAGTTGTAAAGCCGAAAGTGCATGATAAATAAAGTTATTGTCTCCCAAAGAAAGAATCGACTCTGAACTAGTCGTCAGGAATTTGAATCCCACTTCCGTGATGGCTACACATCATGTGGTAACACATTTGCATAATGCCCACCTATGTTCTACACTGGCCGGCCGCGAACAACTTGACCCGCTCTCAAACACTGTAGCTTGTTTGTGTGGTTAACATCATGTCAAGAAGATGCTGCGTCCTACATTGTGAAAGTAGATTCGTTTTATTTTCACTTCCGAAAGATTAGGTTGCAAAGAATCAGTGGTTAAAATTAGTTTTTTCTTTTCATTCATCATTTCATTTTATTGATCTTTTTTTTGTGTGTGTGTCCGTCATTTACTGATGACTGCTTCTCTAATCTCAGGGAGTTCAACACGGGATTCACAAAATGTTTGCTCTTGAAAGATGCCTCAGTACCCAGTTTTTTTGGACCAGCTGGCTCCACTGAATCACAACATGTAAGTATGACAAATAATAGATGTGTATATTTTCTATCGAGCCTTCAAAATATGGAACTATTGCAATGGGCGTATCGTTTCTGACATGCGCTCTATGCGGTAGACCAATCACAACAGACTGGGCCATCTGACCAATCAGAGCAGAGTAGGCTTTTAGAACTGCTTCGAATTAATCATTGGAAAATTAGGTGATATTAAATGAATATTTTGAGAAATTGGTCATTAATGTTTTTAAGGCAGGACTTGGCAAAGGATCAATTATAGCAGAAACCGAGAGATGTAGGGGGAACTTAGCTGTCTGTATCTTTATCAAACTACTCCCAAACAATAGATTGTGGTTACAGTGAACTACCTCCTCCACAGGTCTTGGAACAGGGTGTCCATCTCTTCACCACCCAGGAGTATGGCACCGCATTATCAGGGACCATGTTATTCTCATTGGCACAGTCACTCAGTCTGTCACTGTCAGTGATGTATTTTATCGACACCTTCACCTTGGCCGATCCATGCATTCGGATCTAGTAATCAATTACACAATTAAAGACGATCAATTAGTTGTAAAGCCGAAAGTGCATGATAAATAAAGTTATTGTCTCCCAAAGAAAGAATCGACTCTGAACTAGTCGTCAGGAATTTGAATCCCACTTCCGTGATGGCTACACATCATGTGGTAACACATTTGCATAATGCCCACCTATGTTCTACACTGGCCGGCCGCGAACAACTTGACCCGCTCTCAAACACTGTAGCTTGTTTGTGTGGTTAACATCATGTCAAGAAGATGCTGCGTCCTACATTGTGAAAGTAGATTCGTTTTATTTTCACTTCCGAAAGATTAGGTTGCAAAGAATCAGTGGTTAAAATTAGTTTTTTCTTTTCATTCATCATTTCATTTTATTGATCTTTTTTTTGTGTGTGTGTCCGTCATTTACTGATGACTGCTTCTCTAATCTCAGGGAGTTCAACACGGGATTCACAAAATGTTTGCTCTTGAAAGATGCCTCAGTACCCAGTTTTTTTGGACCAGCTGGCTCCACTGAATCACAACATGTAAGTATGACAAATAATAGATGTGTATATTTTCTATCGAGCCTTCAAAATATGGAACTATTGCAATGGGCGTATCGTTTCTGACATGCGCTCTATGCGGTAGACCAATCACAACAGACTGGGCCATCTGACCAATCAGAGCAGAGTAGGCTTTTAGAACTGCTTCGAATTAATCATTGGAAAATTAGGTGATATTAAATGAATATTTTGAGAAATTGGTCATTAATGTTTTTAAGGCAGGACTTGGCAAAGGATCAATTATAGCAGAAACCGAGAGATGTAGGGGGAACTTAGCTGTCTGTATCTTTATCAAACTACTCCCAAACAATAGATTGTGGTTACAGTGAACTACCTCCTCCACAGGTCTTGGAACAGGGTGTCCATCTCTTCACCACCCAGGAGTATGGCACCGCATTATCAGGGACCATGTTATTCTCATTGGCACAGTCACTCAGTCTGTCACTGTCAGTGATGTATTTTATCGACACCTTCACCTTGGCCGATCCATGCATTCGGATCTAGTAATCAATTACACAATTAAAGACGATCAATTAAGACAAGTTGTGTGTCCACTTATGTGTGTGTTTGAGTTCCTACAGGAGATTACCATGACAACCACATCATTTTTCAAGGGTCCGCTGGTTTGAATGGTGTCCTTGTTGTTTTTATTTTCATACTCCCATTCCAGACCTTTTTCAATAACTGAGCGTGTCTCTGGGTAGTCTCCATATGCGTTGAGAAAGAAATCACCTGACGCTTTATTCCTGACAGCTATTGAATTAAAAAAATGGAGAAAGAGAGCTGCAATCAAACAAGCATAGTGCTGAATGTATGAAAAACTACAGGAAATGATCAGGCTTTACCTAAAATGTGAGTAGTTCCATTAAGTTCCTGGATTAAGAGATGTCTTGCCCCTCTGGGAACTTCAAGCACTTTAATGACACCTAAACCAAATGCAAAACATTTCCAAATCACTATTACTTCACTCCAAAACTTTAATAAACATAAAAATGTGATTAAATAAAAGTGAATGCAAAATGGTTTCATTTAGAATGAACAGAGACATGACAACTTTTCAGGAGTGATGAAACAAAGCTTTTCGAAATGGTTTGTATGTGTTATTTTATTAAATTGTAGAGCTTGAATAATCAGGCCAATATTAGACTATTAACTACAACTCTTGCTTTTATTATACAAATGTGTTTTTAAAAATGACCCCAAATTTATAAAACTGATCCGAGATCAGGTAAAAACCATATAAACATTGAAACAGTTATGACGTAACAAAGTTTTGTTTACTGAAATCACGTGACTCGTGGCAGTTTGATACAAGCTTCACAAAGCAGTGTTTCGAAATCGTCCATCACTACTTTTCAGTATTAAGTTAATGATATTTGAAACCAACATTTGTTTCTTGTTTTTTTTTACACTGACCTTGCAAGTTGCAGTGTGTTACGGGATTTGCAAAGAATTTGGCCAAAAGAAGGTATCTTAGGAGGTAGTATAATTATGCCTACGTTTGGAAGAGCCATAGTGTCTGAACTAGGCCTGTGATGCATTAACAACCTGCCAATGCCAGGTTTTGGAACAGAGCCTATATGTGTGCTGTGGAGACGTACCTTTCTTCTCTACAAAGGTGAAGTTAAACTTGTGAGTCTTGCACTTGGTCCCGTCTCCCCCGCAGACGCCACACTTATCTTCCTGTAGAGCTGATCCTACCACATTATCACAGCCCACTTTCTGAAGGGAGAGAGACACCGTGAGCAACAGGCAACTAAACACATACATTTACAAGTAGTACACACAGCTATTTACCTCACAGTCTCCGTACACACACACACTGTAGGGATCTTTGTAGGAGCAGTGTGTTCCAGGTTCCACCTGAGTCTGCATGTTGACTATAGCTCGCGTCTCTTTGGATTGACAGTACAATTTGCAGCGTTGCTTAGCTATGAAAAACAAGACAAGAGAGATCCTTGAGTGATGGATTGAGATTTAGTGCATATTTATAAGGATTTAGAAGATCTTGAATTCTAAGAAAAATATAAAAATTCTAATTTTAGTTAAGAAAATAATAAAGAAAAATAAAATAAATGTTGATCATATACCAAAAAAGGTCTCTTGATAGTCTTTACATGGTTTATAAAAGCATTGTACATTATATCATCCCAAACAGTTTCCCAGCTAGTCCAAAAACTGAACGCTTCTGTTCCAGAAGTACATCCAAGTAAATTTTTCATAAAGACCAAAACTTATCCATGAACAATGTGACGCCTGTTAAATGTCCCAGTAATTTAAAAGCATTTAATTTCACTTTGTGTGGAAAAAGTACAAGTAAAACAAGTACTTTATTCCCCTCCAAAAACTCGAACCCACACAAATCAAATCAAGGTCAACAGAGTACATTTCTCCTGAGAGTAAAAATGGTTACCTCATCTGATCAAAGGTACCAAGCGCATTTTACCGTATGAGACATGAACCACAAACATTCTTTTGTGATTTAAAAAAAAAGGCTCAAAAAGTCTCTCTTTATATGAGAATTACTTTGGATGTGCTTGTGTTGATCATAAGACTAAGGCAGATGTCCACAGCACTAATGACTCTGGAGGGATTTCATGTTCTAAGTGATGTCATGAATGGTGTAGAAGTACATGTGGAAAAAAGAGGGGGGTTTCAATGAAAATATATTTTCATGTGTACCCACTGTGTAAGTGAGAACAGCTGTGTGCAGAGACAGATTACATCAGCCCGGTTACAGGCCTGGCTGACAAACTTAGCTTGATTGCAGGACAGGAGTAGGAAACAATCTAAAGTAAGCTTTAAATAAAATAAAACTAATTTAAAATAATAGAATTAAAATAAATATTTTAAAATCAAACTACATTATATTAATTTAAATAAACTTTACATATAAAAACAAAGTCAAATGTTCTGTTGCGCTCATATTTAAGATTTTTTGACATTTGCCAAATTGCTGACTTCTGCTTCTAATATACGGTGCAGAGTGAAAAGTATTGTGGGCAGTACTGTGAAATATTTCAAGCCAAACTTGAAAAACTTACTTTAGGGCCATGGCTCAAAATGTCTAAACTACCATGGCATGACCCTGATAAATGAATTTGAGGATTACTGTTATTGTAGACTTTGTACTAAGGTCGCCGTGATTTTGCCAAGTAAGACATGTTCCTGGATCAACATCTTTTGTTGATCCTGAATCAACATTACTGTCCAAAAATATAGACCTAACCCAATCCCTACCCCTAAACCTAACCCTACCCATAATTTATTCCTAAAATCAGAGGGAAATGATAGGTGAATAAGAAGGGTGTAGAAGCATCTAACCCTGACTGTAAGCCTAAAACTGACATTTCTTGAAAACGCATCCCTCAATTCTGATTGGTTGATTGGAATGTTGTTCCAGGATCAACAAGGATGTTGTTCCAGGAACATGTTGTACTTGGTGAAATCACGTTCACCTTGTACTAATTAGATGGGGGTGGGGGTCACATTTGCATCCACAAATTATTTACATTATTTAAAAATTATTTATATTATTTATTTACATATATATATAATTTTTTAAGTTTTCAAGGTGTCTATTTTTTATTTTATTTTTTTACAGAAGAAAAGCTGTTTTCAACTCTATGTGGTCCATGAAATTTGCCGTATTACTTACGGTCGGATTGTTCATAAGGCAGCCAGTGGTGCCAGGTATTCTGGTACTCAAACTTGTTGTCCATCATGCTACATTGCTCAGCTCTGTAGTCATGGTACAGGTCCTCACACTCATGCGTATTACACATCTGGAACTGATAGCTTGGGCCGGCGCAAGAACGTCCACCGTTTGCTGGACTGGAGGAGGTTAATGGAAGTGGGGAAAAAAGAGCTACATATGAAAAAATATGACAAGCCAAGATAGATAGATAGATAGATAGATAGATAGATATACAAACAGCGGATTGTCACAAGCTCGGGTGCGAAACTGTAGTCCCCTTCCACAGGGGCGAGAGCAGGCGCCAAGCTCACTCCACGTCCCCCAGTTTCCGTCCTTTTTTATGATGTCTGGAGTCAGATGCATACAGTGGCCTTTAAAACAGTGCTGAGAGAGGAAGAGAGCAGGGCAAACACATAAACACAGAGGAAGCAAGTGAGTCTAACACCTCAGGATGGATCTGCATGAAAGGCTGAGTGGTACCTTCCCATCACCGCATATAGTGCCATCAATGGGTGGACCTTTTTTGGTCTTGCAGAAGAAGGGGTTGTCTGGGTGAGCACACCAAAGCTGCTTACAGGGATCAAAGGGGCGATACTGAAACAGAGGAACAGAGAGAAGAAAAATCATTCTCAAACTCACACACACTCTGAATGAGAGGAATCTTATGACAAGACGCAGCTGGTCAGATAGTCATAAGGCTAGGATCAAACTGAACAACTGTTCATTAAAATGACAAACAACACTATTAAAATGGCCCTGTAAATTTCTTATAATTGAAAACAAGTCCATTAAACAGACACTTTTTATAAATTGTAAATAAAGTGATACTATAATAATTAAAATGAAAGTTAATCTCTCTTTTCTCTCTCTATATACATATTTATAGGAGAAAAAAAAACATATATATATAGCCGGTTTGTTTTTTTAACTGTAATAATAAAAAAAATCTATATATAATGTTACTTAATATAAGATAAAATATAACATAATATTATAACAGCTGAGAAAACAGTATGATATATTTTCATTAATTGGCAGGTTGCATTTATGTAACAAAGCAATCTCATGCAGGCAAATCAAAACAATGACGAAAACTGTTTTAGTTATGATGCAGCCTGTGACCAACAGCACAGTTAGACAACAGAATGCTGGGCAGTGATGGAATATGGCCTCAGTTAAGGTCAAACGTTAAGCAAAATCTCTCTTTGTTTTCCTTCCTCTGAGAGGCGTAGTAGACAAGACCAGAATCTCTGGCTGTGGTACTAATGATGACACTTCATTTAGCAGGATCCTTAACCCAACAAGCATTTTAAACACATCAAGACACCAAGTGCAAAATAATGGCTCACAGTTTTCAGCTGAAGCCAGCTGGCTGCTACTGTTGTCTCAGTTTGAATATTGTTTAGAGTTTGCCAAGCTAAATAGCGAAAAGATTGCTAGGCCAATAGCTAGACGATTATTTAGCACCTGTAAAGATTTTTAGATGCTTCTGAGAACTGTATGATTAAACCTGCCCCATTCAGCAATCTATTCATGAATATCTTTTCTAATGAATGTAGAAAACTCTCTGAAAAGTCCACCAGACTGCAACGACCTGGTTAACTTGACATTAAAGGAATGTTCAAAAGAGGTTTGAGATCTACAATACTGAGAGAATCTGTGGCATGCTTTCAATTACTACAGAGAATAATTTTATCCTTCAGTTCGAAAAACAGACAAAAAATAGTTTACACTGGTGTTTTTCAACTGAAGTCTAGGGGCAAGGCATTCCAGAGGGTTTAGAAGCAGAAATGTGCCACTAAATGTGTTTTTGCTAAAGCACTTATATCAGTTCTTCCATACAAAAATGTGTTACCTAAGCCGCAAAGTTGTCTAAATCGCTCATTTAGTGGTGGGACTACTGTTCTGGGTGGATGAACAGGGTGGATGAACCCTGTTATGCTTTATCCTAATGCAATTCCTGTGTGTGGAAATTGCTCTTTGTTTGAGTATTCATGTGCATATTATTGTACATACAGTATATGACATCAATTTGTGCATTTTTGTACACACACTTTATACATTTATTTTTAGAAACTGAAGTACAAGCCAAATATGTTTTAGTTATTACATTTTTATTGAACTCAAGCATCCCTTTTGATGCTTGTGAATGTCAGTTAATTCAGAAACAACTGTGGGTTTAGTATCCTGCTGCGTATGTGTCTGCAAAATGACAATGAGTTCAACACCAACCAATAACATGTAATGATTAATAATAAGACCATCTGAATTGAACCAAGTTCAAATGAAAGAGGCCACATTGCGACTGAGGAGAACACCTTACCTGGGCTCCTGCTGGCCCCACCTTTTGCAGCTAAGGGAATGGTTTAACAAGACAGTGAAGTACAGTCCAAGCAGTGCTGTTCAACTGGAATCTCATTTTGTGAGCAGAAATTATTCTTGAAATCATTTTTATCCAGTTTATCAAGTGATATCAAACTCATGCCATCTGGTTTTGATTATCTGATCAATTTTATTCCCAACAGTGAACTGCAAGCAGTGTAATTACAGCCTTGCTTTTTCTCTCATATAGACGAGTGACATCAATTTGAAATTTGGTGCTCATCAAATAAAACCAGCTGATGTGCTATGGAGTAGTTTTAAAACCTGGTTCTTCTCCCATTCACTAAAAGATTTGTTCACTCAAAAATGAAAATAGTTTCAACATTCACTCTCCCTCATGTTAACCCGTATGACTTTTTTTTTTTTTGCGGAACACACACAATGTTTTAAAGCAGTGTTTCTAAACCCTGGTCCTGGGCGCCCCCCAACACTGCTCATTTTGTATGTCTCCCTTGTCTGACACACCCATTTCAGGTCCTGGAGGTTCTCCTAATGAGCTAATGAGTTGAATCAGGTGTGTTTGATTAGGGAGACACACAAAATGTGCAGTGTTGGGGGGCGCCCAGGACCAGGGTTGAGAAACACTGTTTTAAAGGCTTTCAAACTTGCAAAATTATGAAAAGATTTTTTGAAAAGACCTGACACAAAATAAGAACTTGTTAATGAATCGGTGCTGCTTTGCTGAACATGCCAATAAGAGCTAGAGCAGTGAATGGTGACTTATATTTCAGTCTCTATAACTTGCATTATTTCACAAGACTTGGAATAAAGTGCATGAGTCATATGGACCACTTTTATGATACTTTAATTGGCCTTTAATTGGCCTTTGTGTTCTTTAAAAAGCTTGAAAGCTCCTCCTTTTGTGCTCCACAGAAGAAAGAAAGTCATACAGGTTTGAAACAACATGAGAATGAGTAAAATAGTGAGAGACTGAACATTTTTGGTGCACTATTCTGTTCCATTAAGCCTTTTCCCTTTTGGCATGTACAGATATCAAAACTCAGTCACTTAACACAAAATACTGTGTTCCATTCATAATGCATTATTGGCATGTATAACACACATCATACTGGGTCACGGCGCTCTCCGGTGAACCCAGTGACCACAAATGGTGATTGTTATGGCAAGCTGATGGTTGTCAAGGAAGAATGCTTGTAGAATTATACATGCTCGGAGTGATTTTAGAATCTCATTATAATAATGCATTACTTGAATGAAAGTAAATGAGTAAATTCATGGCTCACCGCTGTGCACATCATGTATCCAGCCCCAAAGTCAAAGCGACATTGTTCGTGCATGGAGTAATCCATCCCGGGCAGGTGCGGAAGCTCCTCCCATTTGGGCTCGATCGGGTCATCACGGAGACAATCATACGAACTTCAGAGGCAGAATGAGATGGTATATAATCCACAGTCATACTAGTCAAGATTGTCTGTGTATGTCTGTCAAGCACTCACTGCAGGTAGCGGCCCAGTTCCTGTTGACTGCAGCGGGACCAGTGGAAGCGGTGGAAAGCAGCCTGCACCAGTGGGGCCATGATGCTCCCCATCTGCACCTCATCTCCACAACGATTCCCCTGCCCATCATGCTCCATCCCCAACCTATAACACATATGCATATATACAAACAATTTACATTGGACAACTTGCCCTTTATTTTGGCATTTTTAGATTTTTATTAAGTTACAAACAGACATTGGTCAGGATAGACGCCATATTTATGGAATTATGTGAAGTTGAGAGTTTTGAATGAATTGGTTGTGTGAATTAATCAGTGGTTCAATCATATTGGCAGTCACTTGTTTTGTTCCTAAATGAATTTGTTTTTGAACAAATCTATTGAGAAAATGACTCAATGATTCACTCATAGTGGCTGCATCCAAAATCGCATAATTTCTTAAAGGGATAGTTCACCAAAAATTCTGTCATTAATTACTCACTCTCATGTCGTTCCAAACCCGTAACACCATCGTTCATCTTCGGAACACAAATTAAGATATGTTTGATGAATTCTGAGTGCTCTCTGACCCTCCCATAGACAGCAACGGTCCTTACACAATCAAGGTCCAGAAATGTAGCAAGGAGATCGTTAAAATAGTCCATGTGACATCAGTGGTTCAACCGTAATTTTACGAAGCTACGAGAATACTTTTTGTGCGCAAAGAAAACAAAAATAACGACTTTATTCAACAATTTGTCTCCTCCGTGTCACCCTATAGTGGCATTTTGGAGAGTATCACATACGTAAACAACGTATGCAATGTATATACGCGGATACGCTGTTTACGTTCAGATCACGGCGTAAACAACGTAAACAGCGCATCCACGTACAGTGCTGCTGACACAGAACTGCATACGTTGTTTACGTATGTGATACTCTCCAAAATGGCGCCAGGGTGACGCAGAGGAGACGCATTGTTGAATAAAGTCTTTATTTTGGTTTTATTTGTGCACAAAATGTAAATGAAATGATAATAAAGCATCCATTAGATGCACACTTCAGAATCTCGCCGGAAGTAGTACGTCATCTGGGTTTTTTTTTTTTTTTGCCCTACTATATTATCAATACTGTGAATCTGAACATACAACTCTTTTCACATACTGCTTTTTACCTACTATATAGTAAAGAAGTATGCAATTTCAGATGCAGCCAGTCACTTATTTACTGAATGAACCCATGTTGAATAAATCAGTAGTGAGCAATTTAATGATTCACTGATTTACTCATCACAATACAATCACTTATCGCCACGTACTGACATTTCAATGTAACTTGCAGAAAGAGAACCCTGTAAAATCCCCACCACTAATACACTAATTAGTGACACAAACAGTGGAAAGTCAGCTGTTCGAATGATTCTCAACCAATCAGGACCGGAACTAACTGCTATACAAATGAAAATATATGAGGTATCTTTTAACACTGTAGCAGATACTCACACGTGGCCGGTTTCATGTGCCACAACAAAAGCAGACGAGAAACCGTCCTCATGGTTGAGAGTGCAGCTCCGTACGGGGTGACACATGCCTGTGACAGGAGCGTAACCTAGCAACACATAAGAACACCTGATTGAGTTTGACCTCCTCACATCTTCATCACATATACACGTTATTTTTAACACTTATTTTCCACTGGTCTGAGGCCTGAAGTCAAGGTCATTTCAAGATCACTGTGGCATGTTCGTACAGATACCCATTTTTCAAACTGAGCACATGTGTACATGTTTGAAAGATCAACTGCTCTTGTTAGCAACATGTTTCAATCTCTGGAGATTGATGATGCTGTGTTAATGTGCTTGTATGTTGATTTTACCCTGCATCCCTGTGGGTCCAAACTCTTGACGAGTGAGAAAGATGGCGTGATCATGGTAATCTTTATCATTAGTGTCCTTCCTCTGCTGTTCGAAAGCCCAGCGACACACATTCTCCAGACTCTGAGAAGGATTGCCCAGCTCAATGAGGTTCATGGACTGAAAGCATACATGAAAGGACGTTACACTCTACATCTACATTACACTCTACAAGCTACATTTTGATTTCGCTACTGGCATCTGGTGAAGGTATGAATCAATTCCAAATATCTACATTAAGTTATGAGGTTAATACAAACTACTACAGAAATAGTTCACCATTTAACATTTTATCAATTTTTGACAAAGTTTATTATAAAATGTTGTTCTTTTGCTCCCATAAATGTGTTATATGACTTCAGAGGACCTGGAATACAGCACATGGATGGTATGGATGACTATTATGATGCTTTGGCATCTATTTTTGGAGCTTACAATAATGGAAAACAGCAAGTAGTATTTCAAAGCTTTTTTATGTGTTACGCTAAATGTCATAAGGGTTTGAAATGACATGAGCGTGAGTAACATTTAAAAGGAACTCTATGAGTACTGATGATTGTTACCGCCAGACCAACGCAACTATGTATGCTACCTTTTAAAAGTTTGGGGTCAGCAAGACTCGGCAAGACATGCTAAAAGAAATCTCTCACTAAGGCTGCAATACAGTAAAATCAGTAATATTGTGAAACATTATTACAATTTATAATAACTATTTTAAATTGTTTTCATATATTTTAAAATGTAATTTATATGTGTGATGTAAAAGCAAATTTTTCAGAAAACCTATCAATATTATTTCTTCTCAATGTTGAAAACAGCTGTGCTGTGTGTAAACCGTGATCTTTTTTTTAAAATTTTTTTTACAATTTAATGCCAGTAAAGCTGGTAAATTTAGTATGAAGTGCATCTCACACACTTGCCCCTAAGACATCCATTATAAGTACATTAACACTGAACAGTTGTTGTTGGTTTTAATACTGAGGGATGAGTTGAAACTATTTTCTGCGGTCAAATCACAGATGCTGTACCTAGACAGTTCCTTTAATCAGGGGACACACACCTAAACAATTACATCACCACAAACTTCACAAGCTTAGCACTATTGTTAATCAATCATCTAGTATCATTAACTTCCTTTGATGTTGAAAATACTGAACAATGCAATCAAAATAATTTGTATAGTGAAACTGGACACGTTGACATGAGATATTTATATAATAACAAAAGAAAAAAAGTTTACATCGGAAAGCACGGCAGCCGTGACGCTGTTATTATTGCTACATTTCACACTCATGTGAACACAGACGTAAACATTACGCTGGTTTTCTTCTGCAATCTGTGCAGGGAGATAAATGTGTGCAAAGAAACATCCAGACAGGAATGCGCGGCTGAGTTTTGATGACGTGGCCACGAGAGCCATGGAAGTAGGAGACCCTTTCCAGATGCGTGTCCTGAAACTGCCTCTCTCTTTCCCTGTGCATTTTTGTGCATTTTACTTTGCATCAAGGTCACATGAACTCTGAGAACTACGCTGCAATGTCTTCACCAACCAGTAGAGGGAGGCTTCACCATTCCAATGCATAGCTGTGCACCATGGGAAGAAAGGGTGGTGGGAAATAACTCAACTCAGCATCACTCTCAGCACAAGTGCATCCAGCGCTTTATTCTCTCATTACACTTAATTTATTTGTGACTGATGATTTTTACGCCTTAAGTTTGTCCGCAGACAGCAGACTCTAATGTAAACTAGTTACTAAACACATGATTTATCGTCACTTATCTTCATTCCATCACTTAGATGTTTGTTGATAATGTCATTAAGGGTGTTTCTTAGAATTCTGTACACAAGAGACTTCCCATTGTTCTTGTTAACGGAATACATGACAGACGGGCAAGCGTGCTCAATGTCTCGGCATCTTTATCTTCTCTGTGATCCACCGAACACACACACTGAGACACACACTCGCGCGCTGTGTGGATTGATGTTGGGTGTGTCATGTCAGGATCTCTTTATCTTTTCAGCGCTAGGTGAGGAGAAGAGCGGAACAGATGTGCGGAAGAGACTGTGATGTTGGAACCTTGTTGGAGGTGTGCGGGGTCACTCGGTTGATCGGTGTGTGCTGCTGCCGGCAGCAACGGTTGCCACAGTAATTGGGAATGATGGACATCCTGCTGGCAAGACGGGCGAGGCTACATGCTGATTGGGGCTGCAGCGGCAGGGGAGCGGAGTGGGTGTGGAACAACCAGGCATTTGTGTAAGAGAGAGAAAAAGAGGGAGGGAGGGAGAGGTGGAGAGAAAAAGATGCAGATGGAGAAAGATGTATATCTGAGGCAGTGCTATTGAAATAGGTGGGGGATCTAGACTGAATCGAGGATGCGAGTGAGTGCGAATAAGAAAAAAAACAAAAACATGGAAAGGTTTCCACACTGAAAGCGTTGTGAGGTTGAGATAAAGGTTAACAAAACTGTAATGAAATTTCTAAAATGGAACTGCATTAATGTGCCTCTATTTAACAGGAAGTATCTTGTACTACATGTGCAAAAAAACATGTGGATGATGATTTTAACATTCCAGGACATGTCCTACCTTAACCATAACAGCATCTGAGTTATGGTAGCCATGAATCGAGTTCTATGTGTGTGTTATCTTTTTAAATTAAATAATATGTTTGTATGAACTAGCAAGAATGTGTTTATTATAAAAAATATGCATATTCAGTCAGTCAGACATTGAATTTTTCTTAAATTTATTTATTTATGGGAGTCAGGAATAAATTGGGAGAAAAACAGCCTAGTAAAACATGTGCTCATTATTTTGTTTTAAAATAGATTTTAATATAAAAGAAACACACACACACACACACACACACACACACATATAAATGACAAAAGCACATAAGTAACAGAATTGCTAATACAATTTATAAAAACTTGAACAATATTAATATAATAAAAACTAATATAAAATATCACTGATGGAAATACTGATAGAGACCTGTGCTCAAATCCTTCACCGATAAATGTAGATTGTCAATAAACTAGGTATCAGGGCTGCATTCAATTGCTTTTATTTTGTGTCTACAGTATGTCGTCTACTACACCACACTCTACCACTGGGGCGTGGTCAGCCTGCCTGATGATTTTAAAAACGTTTTTTTTCTCTTTAAAATCACTGTATATTTACTTTTTATCTAAATAGGATTTCGACAGCCAGCCCACAGGTCAACCGACCCACTGGAATGTCACGGTGCTCCCTATGGCCACTGTATCCCTGAATGGAGTTAAACAACATTTTAAGCCAAAGTGAGAGGCAGACAAAGCGTGACCAGCAACAGACGGAAGGAAAAAGACAGAATGGAAAGGAAACCAGAAGATGTACGAGCACAGGGACAGAGATGAAGAGAGAACTGCCAGATAAACAGAGAGAGAGAGCGAGAGAGAGAGAGACCTGTGTGCCAACTGCCTGATGAGTTCATGTGGGACAGTTTGCATTTTAAGAACTTAATCCTAGAAAGACAAGGCCAGAGGGACAATCACCACAAATCAGTGCAGGAAACGCCATCTGCCTGACCCGCCGTGGAACTCTGTCTCTCCATCTCACCTGAAACTGCACGTAATCACCATGTAGCCTCACACACTATCTGTCACGGAGTAAAAAAAAATCACCATTTATCATAATGGCTGGGGGTGGTATAGTGTCTCAGTAAGAAGAGCAAAATTTGAGGGCACCATAGCGATGTGAACTATTCCTCCCGCTGGGTGAACTGACATTTGTGGTAATAGTAAGTTTCGTCTCAGAGATAGAGAGATGATGGATTGTCATGTTTAAGTGGCTTAAAATATCTTTCATATGGGTTATGCATCCAGATAGCACTCATGGAGAAAATATCCTTTCTTCCTGAACCTGATGCTGATTGAATAAATGGAGTAGGTGTTAACTTCACTATTGATTAAGAGCTATTTTTCCAGACATCATATTATTCAGATGATTCCAGAGGAAAATTGCTTTTTTTCAAAGCTCAGTTTAGTTTGTCTCTGGATTGTCTCATGTGTGTAATTTCTGAGCCACTAGTGGTACCAAACAGAATTAATGTCACTAAAAAACGACAGCTTTTCCAAACGGGTTTCTGGAACACTCTGCCCATCTATCAATGGTCAAAAAAAAAACAAAAAAAACAGCTGGTTGATTCAATGTTGCTGTGTCGGGTATCTCAAACAAACTATTTTGAAAGGTTCAGGAATTTAACCTATTAAAGGCTTAATTAAATTTGTTTCATGAGCAACGCAGTGACATTGTTTTTGAACCAATCAGCTGAATAAATGATTCAACGACTCATGTGATTCATGTGAATGATTTAATAATTTGATCATAAAGAAAGTATTTTTTTTTGTTCCTGAATATATCAGTAAACGCTAACAAATTGATTAAGTAAATAATTCAATGACTCAACAGTCACTTCTTGAATGAATCGCTGTTGTGAACTAATTGCCTGAATGAATCATTCAATGACTCACTCATAAATTATTTATTGAATCACTCACTTACTGATTCAGTGATTCATATGAAGGATTCAATTATTAATGGGAATGAATCAAAGATTCACTCATAAAAAGAATCAATTGTTTTGTTCATGAATGAATGAATCAGTATTTTTAACAAATTAGTAAAAGATTGAATGACTCATTGACTATTCATGAATGAATCAGTGTTTTTGAACAGATCATATGAATTAATGATTTAATTAGTCACTCACAAAGACATTTACTTGCGACCAGGGCCGGCCCAAGCCTTTATGGGGCCCTAAGTAAAATTTTATTTGGGGGCCCCTCGGTGTTGCCAAAACGACTGATTATTGTCAATGCTTGATTATTCGCACACTATAAATCTAACTCACCCATTATCAGTTTTATTTATTTTAACTGTGTTGCTTACATTATACCAATGTTTTTACTTTTCTGTGATTTTTAATTGTAACATTAGCAAACCCACAAGAGTGGTCAGATGGAAATTTGCACTTTAACATTCAGTCTTACAGTACTAAGTGGTATATATAAAAGGTATATAAAAAAAACAACAACTCTTAATCTATAACTAACTAATTGACGCATAATGATATTGGAATATACTAGCAAAGACCCCAAAGGTAGGCAAAGGTAAATAATGTTAAGCTGTTATTAGTACCAAGCAGTGTTGGGGTAGCGCATTACAAGTAACGTCTCGGTTACTTGTGTAACCCTCGTTCCCTGAAGGAGGGAACGGAGACGTTACGTCAGTCGTGACTGACGAATAGGGATCTCGCCCGAGAGCCCAGTCACCTTCGATTGTTAACTAAACAAGCCAATGACAGTTGGTGTGCGTGTTTCGCCACGC